TTGCACCACTTACACTGCGCGCCATGTAGAGTCTCATTTATAGAAGAATATTTTGATCTTCCCCCTCCCCCCAGGTTAACAGTGCTCCTGTTCGCATCGTCGTTCTGCTCCAACGTCCGTCCTGATTGTAAATTTCATACCGTCCCAGCCAGGCCAGAGTTCGCCCCGCCCCCCCCCCCCCCCCCCATCAGTTGCAAACGATAGTGTGCGCGCATTCGTTTATCAAATTGGCCTCGTGGGCTTCTGTACACACTCGAGCCAACGCCGAGCACTCGTCGCAATCGCCGCCACATGGGCTTGCAAGCTAAATTGCGGGTGGGTGGATGGTATGTTTGCGAGAGCTTTGGAGGTGGTCAAGCGCGATGCAGGGTAGTCAATTAGGCCGAATATATTCTCCTGTCAAAAAAACAGAATAGACTCTACCCCCCCCGGGGCGTTATCCCCCCTTTTCGGGTATGTTTATCGTATATGATATCGTATATGATTCTGACTACATGTCCATCCTAAATATGAATTTACACTATCCCCGAGGGGCCGGGATCGGCCCCCCTGAGGTTCCATTGTGAAAAACGATACGCGGGGACATTTTTGGTTCCAACATAACACTTTTTCGCGAACCCCCTTGCAAACAATAGACGAAGTGCGCGCGCGTCGTCGCGCGCGCATGCCGGAATCCTTCAAAAACCTTCGGTACCGGACGGATTTCGCAATCGAGTTTCCAAAACACAGGGTTTCGCAACCCTGATGTGCTAAAAAACTTTTGCGCGAACTCTTGCGACATCTTAAAAAAACCATAGGGTTTTCAAGATTTTCACAACATGCTACCAAACGGGCTTCGCGCGCGCATGTCGAAATCTGTCGAGCGCCCCTGTGCGTGTGCCGTCGCGAGAATCCTTTGCAAAAAACGGGACGAAGTGCAGACGCGCGCGTCGTCGCGCGCGTATGCCGAAATCCTTCGAAACCCATCGGTTTCGGAAGGATTCCAAAATCGTGTGTCCAAAAAACATATACAAACCGAAGGTTTCGCAACACGGATTTTCAACAAAAGCGTGCGCGCGCGCTCTTGCGTCGTCGTCGTCGTCGTCGTCGTCGCCGTCCTCCGTCCTCCCGCGTCGTCGTCGTCGTCGCCTACGTCGTCCTCTTTCTTTCTTCGTGTTCGTGGTCGTCGTCCTTTTTGGCGTCGTGGTCGTTTCCGTCGTCGTTGTCGCCGTGGTCGTCCTTCCTCCTCCTCCCTCGTCGTCGTCGTCGTCGTCGTCGTCGTCCGTCGTCGGCGTCTCGTCATCGTCCCTCCTATCGCGCCGTCGTCGTCGTCGTCCTCGTCGTTGTCGTCGTCGTCGTCGTCGTCTCTCCTCCTCCCTCGTCGTTGTCGTCGTCGGCGTCGCCGTCCTTCCTCCTTCTTCGTCGTCTGCGTCGTCGCCGTCCTCCCTCCTCCCTCGTCGTTGTCATCGTTGTCGTCGTTGTCGCCGTCGTCGTCCTCCCTCCTCCCTCGTCGTCGTCTTCGTTGGCGACGTCGTCGTCGTCTTCGTCGTCGTCGTCGACGTCGGCGTCGTCGTCGTCTTCGTCGTCGTCGACGTCGGCGTCGTCGTCGTCGTCGCCGCCGTCGTCGTCGACGTCGTCGTCGTCGTCGTCGTCGGCGTCGTTGACGTCGTCGTCGTTGTCGGTGTCGTCGTTGTCGTCGTCGTCGGCTTCGTCATCGTCGTCGCCGTGGGTTTTGCAAACCAAGTCGCGGGTGGGTGGGTGGGATGCTTGCAAGAGCGCGGGATGTGCCAATTCGTTTGTTAAAGTCAATTGCGCCCCATAGATCGCCGCGTGGGTTGCACCGCGTACATTGTGCACCGTATAGATGTTCATTTTTCAATGATATTAAGATCTTCCCCCCTCACCCCCCCTGGGGTTAACGGCGCACCAATTCGCATTGCAATGTGCATGTGTTTCTGCCCCATCGCCCATCCTAGTTCAAACTCGCATCATCCCAGCCGAGCTGGAATCCGCCCCCCAGCCAGGCCGGAGTTCCCCCCCGCTCATCATTTGCAAACAATATTTTTCGCGTGCGTTCGTTTATCAGAAACCAACATTTTACCATCCGTTGTCCAAGTACCCCCTACAACAAATTTGACGAAATGCACGCGCGCGGCATCTCGCGCGCGCGTGCCGAAATCTTTCAAACACCTACGATTTCGCGAGTGCCTCAAAATCGAGAGTGACGAACACATAGAATCAGATGGTTTCGAAACAAGGGTTTTCAAACAAGCCTGCGCCCGCGCTCTTGCGAATTTCCAGGGAAGCCATCGTTTCCTTAACACTTCCATATAATGCTACCAGACGGTTCTCTCGCGCTCGCGCGTCGAAATCGCTCGAGCGCCCTTGCGTGCGTGCTGTCGCAAGAATCCCTTGCAACAAATGAGACGACGTGCGCGCGCGGTGTCGCGCGCGCATGCCGATATATATATATATATATATATATATATATGAATTGTCGCATGGACTTCAAAATCGAGTGTCGTGAAAACATCTAACAAACACATGTGTTTGCAACATCCGTTTTCCCAACAAAAGCCTGCGCTCGCGGTCTTGAGGATTCTTAATGGAACCATCGCTTTTCCACTCCGTTCACCAAATTCTGCCAAGAGGGCCTCTTGCGCCGCTTCTCGAACTCATTCGGACGCTCCTGCGCGCGTGCTGGGGGGGGGGGGCACGATCCGTGTCGAATAATGCCACGCGGGCCACTCGCGCGCGTCGGCCGCGCGCGCAAGTCGAATTCCTTCAAAAACGTTCATCGCCGACGCGAAGGCATCGACATCGTTACCGGCAGGCGGGATCAACATCGGCGCCGTCATTGGCCTTGCCGCCGTCATTGCCACTATCGTCACCATCATCGCTGTTCTCATAATCGCGTCAACCGTTGTCGGCGTCGCCATGATACCGCGCACGCCCAAGTCACCGACTCGCATTGAGGTGCCCGCTTGGAAGTGCCCAGCGGTCATCGCCACCGCGGCCGCGCAGGTCGCACCAAACAAGCTGGCCGTTGTGCGCTCGAAAATGTGCGGGCCAGCGCGGCCGCAGAGATGCACCAGTCAACGCCAAGCACTCATCGCAATCGCCGCCGCATGGGTTTTGTTAACCAAGTAGCGCGCGTGTGTGTGTGTGTGTGTTTGTGTGGGGGATGTTTGCAAAAGCGTGGGATGTGCGAGCTCGTTTGTAAAATTGAATTGCACCGCGCAGATTGCGCCACGAAGATTGCACCGATCCATATATATATATATATATATATACATATATACATATATATATACACAAATATATACATATAGCACACGATACCTTGCTAGAAACACACTGTTTGGGGCCCGCGCTGCGGGAGTTTCCGCTCCACTTGGGTTGACATGACAATATACCAGCAAGTAACGCCAAACGGCGTTCAGTAACGCCAAGTAGCACCCAATTGCGCTCAATAGCGCTCCGATAGCGTTCGGGTAGCCTTGGCTCGCAACCAATAGCGCCGAATAGCGCCAAGCGAGGGAGATGCGATGGTCAGCGATCTCGGTGAAGACCTCAACATGTTGTCTGATTTGTTCGACGCTTTGGTGCTGGAGGACGGCGGCGATTCTGCCCGCTTTGCTCGCAATTTGACGCGCTGTTGGGCGCCATGGGGACGACAAAAAGCTTCCGTAGGATGCGTTGGAAGTTTTCGGACGTCCCCCCCCCCTGCGGCCTCCTGAGCGCCCCTCGCAAGGCCCTGAGGGCCCCGTGGGCCCCAAAAAACGGCGCAGGAAATTGGGCCAGGGACGCTTCTGGCAACCTGCGAGGGCAGGGCATTCCAGGAAGGACCTCGCCTTCGAGGAATCGAGGGGTTGGTTTCTCGCCCTCGGCGGCAGCCAGCGGGAGGCCCGCAGAGGTGAAGCGACGGCAGCCTTGCTTGCGGAAGCCGGCGGGAGCAAAGGTTGACCCGCCAGCGCACCCGGGGGTGTCCAGGGCTGACACTGGCCGCAGTGAGGATGGGGGATCTCCTACTGGGGAAGGGTCCCGAGATCTCTTTCAGTTTTCGGCCTGGGGACACCGATTCGGGATGAACGACGGGTCTCGGGGTGCCCCAAGGTCCAAGGCCCATTCCAATGTCAAGACGTGTTTTGCAAGCGCAGCGGGCGTCGTCAAAGAGTACAGTACGCTTTTAGCTTTGAAATTATTTATGATCGTGGAGGACCATCAATGGAGACGAAGCACGTTGCCAAATAATTTCCAGATGTCTAGAACATATGTGAAGCATGTTTTAAACATGTGAAAGAACATGTTTCAAACATGTCTAGATCATTTTTCGACATTTAAAACACATTGTAAATTCGATGGTAGGACTGTCAGCGTGTCCACTGTCGTGGCATCCACACACTTATGAAGAGGGGGGGTAGAGGATGACCGAGGTCTTCCTCGTGACAGCTCGGAAGTTTGTTGGGGCGGTCCTTGGGCTTCCGGGTGCCTCTGGAGGCCTGTTGCTCTGGGGGGACTTTCGGAGCCTTCTGGGGCTCCCTGGGGACGTCTGGGGCTCCCTGGCGACCCGCTGCCCCGATCAGTTCGTGCTGGTTTTGTTTTGTCGCGCTCGGTAGCGCCACGTTTGCACCTCAGATTCGAAAACCCTTCGCGACCGGACGTGCCAGGTCGCGACCGACCTGTCGCGACCGATCGATCGCAACCGACTTCAAAGCAAATCGTTCGCGACGGATGCTGAGATTTGAGGCAGAGTTGATTGCGTCCGATCTCGTCGGTGGCGACCCGGAAATTTGGCATCCAATGATCAGGGCGGTCAGGACTCGTCTCTGCAAGCCAGGACCTGCGGGAGAAGTCGAAGACGGGAGAATGTTTCGGCATGCGGCTGCAGTTTTTTGCGTGCGCCAGTGCCTCGGCTCACTGATGGGGACCACGTTTGTCGATGAATCAGTCTTTAACAGTGGTGTATCGTCCCCCCGTTGACGTCCACTCCACGGTTTTGCCTCGCCAACGGACGCAAGCAGAAGCGCCCGCCTTGTCGAATAGCTCCGCGTTCGATGTACTCTCCAGGACCGGGGTCATGCAAAAGCTGTGGGGCCGCCTTCGATGATGTAAGTCCTCCTCCGCCTCGCCCCTTTCAAATTTTTGATGGTATTGTGCACGCTTCTTGTCCCGACTGCCACAGGCAGGATGTTCTCGATGCTATGGCGGGGTGGACTCCGAGATGGCTTGGGTTCATTATGTATGGAACTGGAGAAGGAGAAATGACAAATGATGCTGCTGCTGCTGCTGCTGCTGCTGCTGATGATGATGATGATGATGATGATGATGATGATGATGATGATGATGATGATGATGATGATGAGATGATGAGATGATGATATGCGAATCCCTCGCTATTGAACTCCAGTGCTTCATTTGCCTAAGCGTATCTGCTGTGCGATGTGTTTTTATCGATGGGGGAGAGAATATCATACGTATGCTCTTCCAACAGCTATTTCCTCATACCCTCGCAGGGTTGCTGTGCAGTGGGCGACGACGCGTGCCTTGATAGGAAGCACGTTCGGTGTGCGGAAAGTGCCGCCCTGCTTTTTGGCACCTTGGGGGGTGCATGTCCGACACACTTGCAAGTGGCAACATCAACCAAGGTACGGCGGACCCGAAGTCAAAACAGAGTCCAGAGGCCTCCGTGGACTTCCAGGGGCCATCCTGGGGGTCTCTGGAGACTTCCAGAGAGATCTGCGAAGGAGGGGAGCAGGACGAGCGAGGAGGAGGGTACAGAAGCACCGGAGGAGGAGGAGGAGGAGGAGGAGGAGGAGGAGGAGGAGGAGGAGGAGGAGGAGGAGGAGGAGGAGGAGGGAGGAGGAGGAGGAGGAGGAGGAGGAGGATCTGATTCTAGTCCAGCAGAGGGCGATTAAGAGGGTCTCTAAGAAGCAGCGTGGAAAGGTGGTAATGTTGCTGGTGGTGATAATTCTTCATGGTTTGGCCATACAGTTTACGATGGCGGTCACGATGCGACGACGGTGACGTTGACGGTTATTTCAAATGCCGCCCAGATCCAGCTCTTCAGGGATCTTGATGACATGCCTACGGCAGCGAAGCAGGCCTGTTTCGCTCGCGCACGAGCCTCGCGCGGGTGAGTCTCTTCGGGGAAGCTGCCGCGAGGAGGAGGAGGAGGAGGAGGAGGAGGAGGAGGAGGAGGAGGAGGAGGAGGAGGAGGAAGAGGAGGAGGAGGAGGAGGAGGAGAGGCGTGGGAGGCTGAGGATCCCAGCGGCGCTCCCCAACGGTGGCCAGGCACGACGCGGCCCGCATCTCTCCCCAAGACCTCCCCCCAGCAGGACCCGCGGGTTGGCCGCAGCAGCCTTACATGGTGGTCGGCGTGCCGATGATGGGCGGTCTGTCCGCGGGCGGCGGTCCGGGCGGCCTGCCGCAGGCGGCGCAGGCCCTGGCCGGGAGCTGCTACGCAGCGCCCGCCGGCGGCAGCGGCGGGGGCGACGGCGACGTGGGGCTCGAGTACGCGAAGGAGTGCATCGTCATGGCAGCGGGCCAGTACCGCGAGGTGCACCCGACGCTGTCGCCGGCGCTGCGGTCGGCCGTCGGCGGCTGCTTCCGCTGCAGCCCGGCCGACCTGCCCGGCGGTCTGCAGCTGGATGCGGCCAGCGGGGTCATCTGGGGAACGCCGCAGCGTGCAGCTGTCGGGGCTGCCGCGGTCACCTACAGGGACTGCACCGTGGTGTTCTCGTGCTCCGCCGGGGCCGTTTCCGCGAGGGTGGGCATCAAGGTGGTGGACTTCCGGCCCGAGGACTTCCAGATCGCGCACGTGTCGCAGATGGAGCAGAACAAGTACATGGTGCTCCTCGACACGCGACGGCATCAGTAGTCAAGCAAGGTGTGTTCGGCCCTCGCCGCCCAGCTTTTTGTGGCAAGACGAGATCCGGTCTTCCTGACCCCTCGCCAGACCTCTGGGCGGAGCTGCCGTGCTTGCGGTTTTGCACTCCTTTGCCAGTGCTCCCGCAGCGCAGATGGACTCAGCTGTGAGCTGTGATCTCCACCAGTCATCAGCTCGGAAGGCGAGCAAACCGCAGGCTTTCGGTACTATATCAGGGCGCGCTGGCCGCGCGGGTCCGCCCCCCCCCCCCCAACCTGGAGAGGCGTGCTCGAGAGCGCTAGGCGGTGCTTTTGGAGTGCCTCGGGGCCGCTGCCTCTTCCCCCCGGGTCCAAACTCGGCGGCGCAATCCGAACCCTGCACTCGCCGATCAACGATTCAGGCAGCTCGATGCGCGGCGGGGGCAGGGTCCGGAAAGAGCCGAGCACGTGGCGGAATCCGAGCCAGCTGCCCCCGCCTCCCACCGATTCAGGAGAATCGGTGGTTGCTCGGGGTAGGGTTCGGATGTCGCCACCCACCAGCGCACCCGTTTCTGGAGCCGCCTCCAGGCGCGGCGGCGAGGAGGGCCTCGTCGATGCCCGAGGCTCGGCCCTCGAGGGCCTCGCAGCTCGAGGGCCTCGGGGCTCGAGGCTTCGATCCTCGAGGGTCGAGGGCCAGGGAGCCCCCGGGGGCCTCGCGCCTCGAGCCTCGAGGGGCTCTTCGGAGCCTGGAGGCTCGATGCCGGAGGCCTCGATCCTCGAGGCCTGGCCCCCGACGGCCAGGAGGCCCGGGGCGTCGATGCCTCGAGGCTCGAGGCCGCCTCCCGCGCCGCCACCCCAGTGACCCCCTCGGGTCAAGAAAAAATCACGACGGGAGGTGTTTCGCTATTTTCGGCCTCTGGGGGCTCTCCCCGGGCCTCGGGACCGTCAAAAAACGACTCAGGATGAAAAACCGGTCCCGGGGAATGGGTCTGGACCTCTTGGGGTCGCGTCATGAAAAAATCATGACGTCGGGGGTCTGGGACGGGCGGGCCACCTCCCCAGCGGGGAGCTCCACGGTGTGCCCCTCGAGCCTGGGCACCGCAGACGTCGCCGAGCGGGGCGCCGCGGGCTTCCCAGGGGGGACCACGCCACCGGGAGGACCCTCGTGGGCCTCGCGCCAGCAGGCTTCTCGAGCGGGGCACTGCAGGCTTGTAAGGGGGGGGGGGGGCACCCCGCTGGGAGGATCCTCGGGCTCCTCGCGCCGGTGGAAGGGGTGCCGATTTTCTTTGGTCGTTCGTGTTCGAGGGTCCAGGCTGTTGGACGGTTCTGGCCCTTGCTTGGGCCTCCGGATGTTTCCAGTTGGAGAGACCTCTCAGGGAAGACGACGACGAGGACGACGACGAAAGACCGACGACGACGACGACGATGCCGACGACGAGGACGACGAGGACGGACTGACGGTCGAAGAACCGACGGACCGACGGACGGACGGACCGACGGACCAACGACGACGATGACGACAGGCGACGACGACGACAACGACGGCGACGACGGAGACGACGACGACGACAAACGACGACGAGTGACCGACGACGTCGACAACGACGGACGGTGGACGACAACGTCGACGACGATGGCCGACGACGTCGACGACGACCGTGGCGACAATGACGGTGAGCGACGAGCGATGAACAACGAACTATGGCGATGATTTTGGCGATGACGATAACGGCAACGACACCTTTGTCGCCAAGGACGACGAAGACGACGGCGGTGGCGGCGGCGGTGGTGGCGGCGACGACGGCGACGACGACGAACGAATGCTAACGAATGACGACGGCGAACGACGACAATCGACGACAGACGACGACTGACGACGACGACCACGCTGATGTCAACGACGAACTGACGACGGCGGACCGACGACGACGATTGAGACGACGACGGCGACCATGACGACGACGGATCACCGGACCGACGGACGCAATTCGACGACGACGGAAGACGACCGACGACGACGACATCGACAGCGCGTCGACCACGACGACGGGCGACGACGCATGACGATGACGACGACGACAGACAGCGACAATCGACGACGATCAATGATGAGCGACGACGAACGACGACACACGACGACGAACATCGAAGAAGAGCAGCGACGACGAACGACGACGTCGTCGTTGACGACTAGCCATTAAGGGTGACGGTGACGATGGCGAGGACGAGGACGAGAACGATCACGACGACGACGACGACGGGGCGACGACGAGGAGGACGACGTCGGCGACGATGCCAACGACGACGGCGTACCGATGACGACAGCCCGACTACGACGGATTGACGACGAAGGACCGACGACGACGGAGACGACGAAGAACGACGACGACGACAAACGACGACGACGGCGACAACGATGGACGACGAGCGCCGACGACCACGTCGACGACCACGGGAGACGCTGACGACGCCACACGACGACGATGGCGAGGACGGCGGACGCCGAGTGCAGACGACGACGACGACGATAATGACGCCGACGACGACGACGCCGACGATGACGACGACGACGACGTCGACGGTGATGACTACGACGACGTCGGCGACGACGGGTGACGCCGACGACGCCGCACGACGACGAGGAAGACGACGACGATGTCGACGACGACGGGTGACGCCGACGACGACGACGACGACGACGGAACGACGACGATGCACTGACGACGAAGATGACGACGATGACGGAGACGACGACGTTGACCGACGACGACGAAGGCGACGACGACGGACGACGAGCGCCGACGACGACGACGTCGACGACGACGACGACGACGACAACAACAAGGACGACGACGACGACGATGACGGAACGACATCGACGCTCTACGGACGATGTCAACGACGACGACGGAGACGACGCTTCCGACGACGACGATGGTGTCGACTGCGGATGATGCTGACGACGCCACACCACGACGACGGCGACGACGACGGACGACGAGTGCCGACGACGACGTCGGCGACGACGGGTGACGCCGACGACGCCGCACGACGACGAGGAAGACGACGACGACAACGATGAAGACGACAACGACGACAATGAAAACGACGACGACGACGGCGACCGCGACGACGACGACGACGACCACGACGACGGATGACGCCGACGACGCCGCACGACGACGAGGAAGACGTCGACGACGTCCACAACGTTGACGACGACGACGGCGCCGACGATGACGACGACGCTGACGACGGCGACGGTGATTACGACGACGACGACGACGGCGACGACGGTTGGCCACATTGACGCCGACGAAGCCGCACGACGACGAGGAAGACGGCGACGACGAAATCGGCGACGGTGACGACGACGACGATGAGAACGACGACGCCGACGACGACGACGGAACGAGGACGACGCACTTACGACGAAGACGACGACACCGACGACCGAGGCGACGACGACCCACGACGATTGTGGCGACGACGACGGACGACGAGCGCTGACCACGACGACGACGAGGAGACGACGACGACGACGACGACGACGGCGGAACGACAACGACGATGACGACGACGATGACGAGACAACGAGACGACGAGACGACGACGGACGACAGCGAAGGACGACGGTCGACGAACGACTGACTATGGACGACGTTGGACGGACGACGGACGACTGACGACGGACGACGCCTTGAGCCACCGCCGTTTGGTCGGTCTCGACACGGGCGTGGGGGGGGTCCAGGGTCGTATTTCTGGGACCTCCCGAGGCCTCCGGAATGCCCCTGTGGACCTCCGAATGTGTCCTGATATTGTTGACGCTTCGCGAATCCCCACCAGCTCACGTGCTCGAGCTTCCAGGATGCCCCCCGCCGTCAGCTCCCCTTTCAACTTCGCGGCTGCTTTGTGAGTGGGCCGGCCGGCTTGTGCCTTCTGTAGCTAATTAGGCTTGCCCGTTTGCCCGGACTCCCTGCCCGCCGCCTGCCTCTTCGCTCGCGGCCGCGACACAAAAGAATCCCCACCAGCCCATCCAGAAACGATGCCCAGAGGAATTGCCTCGATCAGGGAAGTGGGCAGCACACAGAGGAAGGGTCCCCCAGTGGAGGCTTCTTGGAGCGTCTTAGGGGCCTCTTGGCGGTCCCGGACGCCTCTCAGAGCGTCCTGGGTGCCTCGGAGAGCTTCTTGGGGCCTCTTGGGAGTCTCTTGGGAGCCTCTTGGTGGCCTCTTGGGCGCCTGTTGGGGCCTCCTGGGGCCTCCTGGACGCCTCTTGGGGCCCTCTTGAAGCGCTCTTGGGAGCCTTGGGAGCGCTCTTGGAGTCCTCTTGGGCCATCTTGGAGCCATCTTGATGCCTCGGCGAGAAAGCCAAAAACATTGATTTTCCCAAGGTTTTGGAAGGATTTCGGCCTCTTCGGGGCCTCCTGGGAGAGCTCTTTGGCCACTTGGAGCCGTCTTGGAGCGGTCTTGGGGCCTCTTGGAGCATCGTGGGCGCCATCTTGAGGCATCTTGGGATGTCTTGAGCCATCTTGGAGATCATCTTTGGCTCTCCCAGGCGCTTCTGGAGTCATCTGAAGCAGTGCTCCCCCAGGAGGCCAAAATGTAGCCAAAACCTTAGTAACATCTACGATTTGGGCATTGTCGCCGAGGCCTCTTGGAGCATCTTGGGTGCCTCTGGGGGGCCTCTTGGGGCCTCGTGGAGGTCTCTTGGAGGTCTCTTGGGAGCCTCTTGGGGGCATCCTGGGGGCCTCCTGGGGGCCTCTTGGGGCTTCCTGGTCGCCTCTTGGGGCCCTCTTGGGGCACCCTTGGGAGCCTTGGGGGCCATCTTTGGGCCATCTTGGGTGAGATCGATCAAAGGAGGGGGGGGGTACTAATTACAGCCCCCCCCCCCAGGAGGCCAAAATGGTGCCAAAACCATAGTAAAATCAACGATTTCGGCTTCCTCGCCGAGGCCGTTTTGGACGCTCCGACGACTCGCGACCCCCCCCGTCCAGGTCCATGGGGAGGGGGTAGGGGGAGTGATAAACCCCTCCCCGAAGTGGAAGAAGGAGGGGTGGAAGAGGAAACTTCCTAAACCACCGACGCCCAGAGGGCTGGTGGGATTTCTGGAGACCTCGGATCTTTTGAGTCTCCTCCTCGTCGCCACGGCTGGGTCCTCACCAGAACGCGTCCCTAGATGGCCTGCATGCAGGGTTGACAACCGACGCACGGACGACGAGGACGACGACGACGAGGACGACGACGACCAGTGACGGCGACGACGATAACGGCGATATATAACGACGGCGACGATGACGGATGACGGAGCATGAACGACGACGACAACGACGAAGACGACGACAGTAGAGGACGAACAACGAACGACGACAGTCGACGCCGACGTCGAGGACAACGGTGACGACGACGATGGAGGACGGAGCATGAACGACGATGCGACTAGGACGACGATGACGACGACGACGGCGTCGACGACGAAGACGACGGTCGAGGACGAAGAAGAAACGACGACAAATGGCGACGGCAGACGAGGACGGATGGCGACGAACGACGACGAGCAACGCAGACGAACGACGACGACCACGACTCTTCAACCTCGGATCCAGACCCCCACGCGCCGCGAAGAATCACGACAAGAAGTTTTCTGGCCATCTTCGGCCCCCGGGGGTCCCGCGCCTGGCTTCCTGGACCGGGATGTTGGAAAACGTTCAGTCCCAGTATTTCCCTGCCGCCCGGGCCCTTCAGCAACGAGGCTTGCGTTCTTGACCTGCGTTCTCATAGCGGTTTCCCGACTCTGCTCCATCCCGGGACCCCCAACGTCGCAACCATTTTGGCTCGCGGCGCTCCCCGCTGTGCTTCCATGTCGCCGAGGAGCTGCGCGCGTACCGCCCTGCCCTCCCAGTTCGCCGCGGACGGAGGCTCCGCGAAACCCACATGCGGGGGTATGCGGAGTGTCGCCCACGACACGACGGAAAGCGAGAGCTATGGCCTGGTCACACCTAGAACCTAAGCGCGCGAAGCGCGCGCGTGGTTCTAGTATGTACCGATGCCCCTAAGCAGTACTTGAACATGGAACTGGTCCTGTCTGTCGGACAAGCGGCTATGTTACCGTCCCGCCGCCGCCTCGTCGTCGCCCGTAACTGGGCCTGCTTGTCGGCCTGGCAGCTATGTCGTTGCCGACTCCGCCCCGTCGCTGCCTCGTCGCCGCTCGTAACAAGGGTTGTCGGTCGGTCAGGCGGCTACGTTGTCGCCGTCGACGCCCCGTCGCCGCCGTCGCCGCTCGCCGCCGCCGTTCGACTGCATCACATGGATTGCTGCACAGTTAAGATTGCACAACGTTGATTTGATTGCACCACGTCGGTTGTACGACGTAGATAGCATCATGTTGATTCGCCCCACATAGATTGCACAACCTGTCTTGCGCACCTCCTAGGTTGAACCACCTATATTGCAACATCTAGATCACGCCACATTTATTGTACCACATGTAGTGCACAACATCGGATGCATGACAAAGTGCACAGCATAAACCACATCATACGAACAGCACCACATCGATTGCACCACGTAGATGGCACAACATATACTGCACCGCGCAGATGGCACCACGTATCTTGGACCACATACACTGCTCCGCATAGACTGCACAGCCTGTATAGCACATTCCAGATCGCACACCATATAGTGTACACCAGATCGTGCACATGCATTGCGCCACATGTTTTGTACAACGTACATCGTCCAATCTATATGAGACCACATAGATCACACGACATAGGCTGCAAAACATTGGTTGCCATAGACCTGTTTGGGGCCCACGCTGGCTAACAGATGTGTAAGTGCCCGTGTAGTTAAGATCGCCCGGAATTGTCTTGGGGCATCGAGTTCAGGATGAGCTGAGCAAATCTCAACGTGTTATGGATAGGAAAAGCTCCACATGGTTTTTGCTCGAGGGTTCCTGCGGCCAGCCTGGAGAAGGAGCGCGCTCGGACACGAGCTGGTTAAAACAAACGCAACAGCGCGATGCGATGGTATATCTCGATGTGGTCTTGGCCATTCCTGACATCGCAAAGTGTGGTGTCGGCAGTTTCGATAATTCGGTGTTATAAATTTCCTTTCTCCTCCCCCTGTTCTCTCTGCTCCTTGTTGTGATCCTCCACCTCCTTCTCCTCGTGCCCCTCCTCCTTCATTCTCCTCAGTGTGAAATAGCTCCACGCGTGCGAACACGCCAAAGTGTGTTGCCCGCGCTTGTGTGGAAGCGCACGTGGTGCTTGGGATGCAAGCCATGCTCCATTTGAAAGGATTTGCGAAGCCAGAGGTTGCCGTACAGTATTTCTGCAGTGGTCGACCCTTGAGTCAACATATGTTCATCTTCGTCGTCATCTTGATCTTCGCCGCATTTGTCGTCGTCGCCGTCTCCCTGCTCCTCGTCGTCCTCATCCTTGTCAACGTCCTGTAGCGCCGAGGTTGTTGCCAAGTTTGGCGGTAGACCTTCTTGTGGTCCACATATTGGGCGTTGGCCGACATATCAGTCGATTTCCATCACGTTGGGGATGATGTGGTCGGATTTTTTTGGGGGGGGGCGCGACGAGTCAAGCCTTCATACGGGGACTGCGGAGGGCCCCGGAACCTTCGCGTTCCCCTGCCTCGCGCGTGCCGCAGACGTGGAGCATGCATTTCCGAGCGCATATTGTGTAGGCTTCCCAAATGGGGTCGGGGTAAATGGGGTCGGATGATCGTGCCGCATCGCCGCATCGGCGATGCGGCTCGAGGTGGGGCCCGATTTGTCGGCACCGACATCGCCGATGCATCGCCGACGTCGCCGGTACATCGCCGATGCATCGCCGATGCGTGGGCGATGCGGTGCGATTTTCCGACCCCATCTACTCGGGCCCCATCCAGGAGGCCCCTATATAGTGATTCATCTTTCTATTCTACTGTACGCACACCCTTCGGGTGATGAGGAGGTTCGGGGGGGGGGGAGGAACCAACGTCTCGCTCGATCGGTCTCACTATCGATCTCACTATCGATCTCATTGATTATCGATCTCACCATCGGTCTCGCTTGATCGATCTCACTCGATCGATCTCACAATCGATCTCACTCGATCTATTTCATTCGATCGATCTCACAATCGATCGGACTATCGATCTCACAGTCGATCTCACTATCGATCTCACTATCGATCTCACATCCAGTCTCAATATCGATCTCACAATCAACGTCATCATCATCATCATCATCATCATCATCAATATCATCGTCATCAACGTCATCAACATCATCATCATCACCATCATCATCGGGACCCAATCATCATCACCTCATCACCAGAATCATCAACATCATCATCATCACCATCATCATCATCATCGGGACACCATCATCGTCACCATCATCATCACCAATATCATCATCATCATCATCGGGACACCATCATCATCATCATGATCATCATCATCATCATCATCATCATGATCATTAGCATCGGAACACCATCATCACCATCATCATCATTATCATCATCATTATCATCATCGTCAACATCATAATTAAGAACAACATTATCAACATCATCATCATCATCATCGGGATACCATCATCATCATCAGCAACATCATCATCACCATCATCATAATCGGGACACGCCATCATCGCCACCATCATCATCACCATCATCATCATCGGGACACCATCATCATCAACATCAGCATCATCATCATCATCAGGGCACCATCATCAAAACCATCATCATCATCACCTCATCATCATCCTCATCATCAACATCGTCATCATCACCATCGGGACACCATCATCATCGTCATCATCACCATCAGCATCATCATCATCATCGGGACACCATGATCATCAACATCATCAGCATCAACAGCATCATCATCAACCTCATCATCACCATCATCATCGGGACGCACTTATCATCATGATCATCTTCATCATCATCATCATTAACATCATCATCATCATCTCATTATCTCATCATCATCAACACCATCAGGATCATCAACATCATCATCATCATCATCATCGGGGCACCATCATCATCAGCAACATCAGCATCATCAATATCATCATCATCATCGGGACAGCATCATCATCATCACCACCATGGCCATTATCATCACCATCATCATCATCAACATCGTCAACATCATCATCATATCATCGGGACACCATCATCATCACCACCATCACCATCATCATCATCATCGCCAACATCATCGACATCATCATCATCATCACCACCACCACCATCATCATCATCATCATCATCATCATCATCATCATCATCATCATCATCATCATCATCATCATCATCATCGGGACACCGACGGGACACAGGCGGGACACCGGCGGGACACCGCGGGCCACCGGCCCGCGGAAATGAAACATTTGGTCCGGCCGCGCCTCAGTCGGAGGCGGGACACCGGCGGGACACCGCGGGCCACGGGCCCCCGGAAAGGAGTCATTTGGTCCAGCCGCGCCTCAGCCGGAGGAGACTTTCTTTTCGCCCGCCCACGCAGCTTCGCCTCGCCCGCACGCACGGCACGCGCGAACACGAAACCGAAACCGATTTCCCGGTAGGGGGGCTCTCCGTTCCACTTCGATCTCACCCCCTCACCTCCGATGCTCGGGGTCGTGCCTGGGGTTGAAGCTGTCAGCATCTGCATCGGTCGCTGCAGTCAGCATTGCTTGCCTGTGGGTCCAGTGATCTGAAGGTGCACACGGGGCGCCCCCGTCGTCGCTGGTGGCGCAGTCTTCGCAGCTGCAGGGGAGATGGGAAACATGCCTGGGGCCAGCCCTCCCCAGGAGGAGGACGAGGAGGAGGAACAAGGGGACGAGGAGGAGGAGGAGGAGGAGGAGGAGGAGGAGACCCCGTCGCCCACACGGACACACACACGCACTCACACACACAAACGCACACACATTCACACACATTCACACACAACCGCATACACACAATAGACAACACACAACACACACAGCACACACAACAAAAACACCACACACACAACACACAACACAAACAACACACAACTCACACAACACACACGACACACACACAACACACACAACACAACACACACAACACACAAAACACACAACACACAACACACACAGCACACAACACAACACACAACACACACAACACACACAACATGCACAACACACAACACACCGAACACACACACAAACACACAACACACACACAACACACACAACACACACACAACACACAACACACACACACAGCACACACACACACCCACACACACCCACACGCCCACACACCCACACACCCACACACCCACACACCCACACACCCACACACCCACACACCCACACACCCGCACACTCACATACCCACACACCCACACACCCACACACACACACACACCCACACGCCCACACGCGCGCACGCGCGCACACACCGCACACACGGCACACACCGCACACACCGCACACACCGCACACACCGCACATTCCGCACACACCGCACGCACGCCCACGCACGCCCACGCACGCCCACGCACGCCCACGCACGCCCACGCACGCCCACGCACGCCCACGCACGCCCACGCACGCCCACGCACGCCCACGCACGCACACGCACGCACACGCACGCCCACGCACGCCCACGACGCCCACGCACGCCCACGCCCACGCACGCACGCCCACGCACGCCCACGCACGCCCACGCACGCCCACGCACGCCCACGCACGCCCACGCACGCCCACGCACGCCCACGCACGCACGCACGCACGCCGCACGCACGCCCACGCACGCCCACGCACGCCCACGCACGCCCACGCACGCCCACACGCACGCCCACGCACGCCCACGCACGCCCACGCACGCACGCACGCCCACGCACGCCCACGCACGCCCACGCACGCCCACGCACGCCCACGCACGCCCACGCACGCCCACGCACGCCCACGCACGCCCACGCACGCCCACGCACGCCCACGCACGCCCACGCACGCCCACGCACGCCCACGCACGCCCACGCACGCACGCCGCACGCACGCCCACGCACGCCCACGCACGCCCACGCACGCCCACGCACGCCCACGCACGCCCACGCACGCACGCACGCACGCCCACGCACGCCCACGCACGCCCACGCACGCCCACGCACGCCCACGCACGCCCACGCACGCACGCCCACCGACGCCCACCACGCCCAGACGCCCACCAGACGCCCCCAGACGCCCACGCACGCACACGCACGCACACGCACGCCCACGCACGCCCACACACGCCCACGCACGCCCGCACACGCCCACACACGCCCACACGCCCACACACGCCCACGCACGCCCACGCACGCCCACACGCGCCCACACACGCCCACACACGCCCACCACGCCCACACGCCCACGCACGCCCACGCACGCCCACGCACGCCCACACACGCCCACACACGCCACACGCCCACACACGCCCACACACGCACACGCCCACACACGCCCATACACGCCCACACGCGCCCACACACACGCCCACGCACGCCCACGCACGCCCACACACGCCCACACACGCCCACACACGCCCACACACGCCCACACACGCCCACACACGCCCACACACGCCCACACGCGCCCACACACGCCCACACACGCCCACACACGACGCCCACACACGCCCACACGCCCACACGCCCACGCCCACGCACACGCACACGCACACGCACACGCACACGCACAGGCGCACGCGCACGCGCACGCGCACGCGCACGCGCACGCGCACGCGCACACACGCACACACGCACACGCACACACACACGCACACACACGCACACATGCACGCACAAACGCACGCACGCACACACGCACACACACACACAAAAACATACACACACACACACCCACACCCACATCCACCCCTTCACCCCCCACACCCACGCCAACGCCCGCGCCCGCGCAAACGCACACCGCACACACGCACCCGCACACGCACACGCACCAGGAAACGCACACGCACACGCACACGCACACGAACACACGCACACGCACACACGCACGCACGCACACACGCACGACCGCACGCGCGCATACACGCACCCACGCACACACGCACACACGCGCACACGCGCATACGCACACACGCACACGCACACGCACGCACACAAGCACTCGCGCACACACGCACACACGCATACGCACTCACGCACACAGGCACACATGCACAAACGCACACACGCACACACGCACGCATTCAAGCACGCACGCGCGCACACACACCACACACACATACGCACGCATGCACACACACACCGCACACACAGACATTCACGCGCACGTGCGCACGCACGCACGCACGCACGCACGCACGCAC